CAGTAACAATCATGGGCACAATAAAAAAAACTTGGATAATTACATGTGCTGCATTAAATTAATGTTCACTTGACCGCTTTTTAAAGATGAATTCTAATATTGTGATTATTTGTTTTAAATGAAACGGGCAGATTGTACAAAATCAGAGCACTCTGACTTACACTGTTCAGAGCTTTTTTTGTCCCACCAAGGTGACATCAATTGCAAGGCTGTGAAATATTTGAAACATAAAATAAACTATGGCTAATAGTTGCGCAAATTGGCTGGATTTTGCATACTAACATGCCATTTTCTGAGGAATACCTACAAACTCATTTCATAACTGCTACATTGTCATACTGCTCTCTCTACGCTTGAATTATTTCCTGTTATTTAAGCCTTTACCTTTACTTTCTCTAAGTTCTTTTCCTCTAGATTGAAACAACAGCTGGACTGATGTTATTTTTAGGTGTTGCACCTTCCTGGAAGACTGTATCAGTTGAGCTACTGCTGCCAATGACTTAATGTTCTTTCCTAAAGACAGTACATTTAGCCCCTCCTCTTTAATGTGTCTTTCTCCTGCCTGAGCTTCTGCTAGGACTAACTGCATACGTTTTTATTTATCCTATAGACTTTAAAAGTTGTTCTTCTGCCATTAGTTCTCTGTTTTCTCTTAACATAGAAAAGACATTTCTGCGTTTCTTTTGGGTATGTGTGTGTATATATTTTGTCTTCTCAAAGCCCCAGTCAGTTGTGGCAGATGGCTGCTCACATTGGGCCAGGTTCTGCTGGAGGAATCTTATTTTATTTTATTTTTTGTTTAAAGGGGAGTTTTGTTTTAAGGTGTCACCACATGGGTGCTCAGTGTGCGGGTTTTCTGCCACAATAACAAATTATTGTAATCAACCATCCTACATGTTCATCAAGGAGGAGTGAATTCTGCAAGTCAGTGACTCGTTGCAATCAGCTGGACTTCGTTAGATGGCAAGCGTTTCAACCAATTTGAATAAGAAACTAATCTTAAATTCTGTGATGATGACTAGGTTTGGAATGTATGTAATTGACCGAATCTGTCTAAACGACTCAATCAAATGTACTTTTTGTGGCTTGATCTCGAGATGACGTTTGTTGTGAATTTGCACCAAATGAATACATGTGAATTGAATTGTATAGAGGTAAATTGAATTGAATTGTTTTTATAAAGCATTTACAGCCCTTAGTTATGATCAGTCCCTGTACCTGTCTCTGTCCCTCCTGAGAGGAGTTCAGAGCTGAGTGCTGTTAGCACTGAGTAGAGAAGACATTTATTGATTCTTTGCTGGTCTATTATTTCTATTTTTCGCTGGAAAAAAGTGAGGGACACCAGTGTGTTTGTGAAACAGAGCTTCTTTATATTTGCAGCAGATATTTGTGTGAGTGTCTCTGCCATGTTTGCAGACCGTTAGCTTATGTCTGTGGAAGTGCAAACACTCCCAGCATGTCCATGGTGTAGACTGTGGCTTTCATGCTGCTGACAGTTAGATCTGATCCGCGGCCTACAAACACAACATCTATCTCCAATACAACATCCAGCTACACTTCAAACTGCTTGCTAATTGGATGGAAGCTGTTAGGTTAGAGAAAACACATTTCTCTGTGTTGGTATGTGTTTTTGGACATATTTTTGGGATATAAATGTGTGTTCTTTATAGCATTTTTAGCTTTTTTAGCCCAATGGGATCAAAATATTTTGCACCTAAGCAAAATAAATAATCAGCAGGGATAGAGATTCTAAAATGTATAGCACCATAAAAGCTATTCCAAATATTGATCATATGACTGTCAACCATTGCAAAAAGATTTCTTATATCAGCATCTCTTCACTTATGACTGTCTAATTGCCGCTTGGTGTCATCTGTCTAAGAGTTGCCATTTTAGCTTGAAAACTGTATTTTTAAGTCCATGTTACCTAAACAAGAGTGAAGGGTGGTGATCACATCTAATGTTTTTTACGACCCAGAAATGGCTCCAAACAGTTTAATTTGTTTTTATTTTTAGTGAAATGTGCCGACACGTTGTAGTGAAGGGAGTTTTACATTTCTCTGCTCAAAATAGTCATGAAGGGCATGTTCTGTGGCCTTTCATTGAACGTATTTAAGCTGTGCGATTGGTATGATAGAAACTTTCAGCTGTTTTGAAATAGTCACTTTTTTAAAACTTTTTGAATGCCTTGATGTTTGTAACAAACCCATGCTTAAGGCCTATATATCCTGTGCATTGTCTTCCCTCTGTCAGAACTACAAGAACAACGTTTTTTTTTTCTTGCCAGGACATTTCATACCTCATAGGAACTCAAGTGCAGAACTCCTCTGCAGCACATTTACTTTATATTTTCGGGACACAGAACAAGAAAAATGTTATGCCCAGAATATGCATTAACAATGAGCTGCAAAAACTCCCAAATCAGAGCACCTCTGGGAAAGAGAACAAAGTTCCCTGTTCTTGTCTTGTAGAGTATGTATTGACACTTAATAAGGACCCAAGAAGTAACGTTCTGATTTGGACAACAATGAGATGTGTTCAAGATTTAAATAGTCTAAGATATTCCTGCAGTGCATTTTTTATTAAAATACTAATGCAGTAACTTGGTGTACCTAAGCAGCAGCTAAAATTCAGCTCAGACCTTGAGGTGAAATGTTTGTCCGCCCCCAGCACTTCAGGTGTTGTACACAAAAAAAGCTTTCCCTGTCCTTTTATTATCCAACTTTGGATGGCAACAGTCCAAATTTGGACCTGGGGCACCAAATTGAGCTGTCTGCACTGTGGGAGGTGCCAGGGGTCAATTTGAAATTCAGGTGCTTCTTCATACACTATGCATTAGGCATAATATGTGAAAGTAATGCAATACTCACACACCTGCCACAACCCCCCACACACCCACCCACCCAAACACACAAGAATAATAATTTAAGCAAAAAGCACTGTGCTTTTTGTGCATAAACTCTTGAACACATTAGCAGCCACCTTCACACAAAGTGTGGATGTTTACGCACACAGGCACATTAATGCTGTCCTCCTTTATGTCTCGGGACGTGAGTGGAGCAGTAAAGCTAAAGCTCCTTGTCACATTTGCCACTCATCTCCAATTCAAAGGCACAGCCTGCGATGCCCTCGGATGCACTTGGCAAGTGAACAGCTAACCTACCCGCCAGCGTATCTGCCTGCCAGCCGGGCTCAGAGGCAGTTAGCATGCCAACTAGCCCACCCAGCAGCCACAAGCTAATGCTTCACTAACCCCGTGTTGCCCTGTGTCTCTTCCTCCAACTGGGTGTTTCTTCATGTATTGACACATGGGGAGTTTAGTTGCACTGTGTTGCATAGTAAAAAGCCATTCTGTAAGTGTTGCTCTTCATCTACATGCAAACCCTTAATATTCTTGTGTCATTTTAAAAAGCTGGTATGTCACAGGGAAGGAACCACAACATTGCTTTTCTTAATCTCTTCATTCAGTCTGTTCAGAGTTTTGTTCCAAAATTAAAGTCTCAAGTAATTATTAAACCATGGGAGTCCTTCATATATACTTAATTGGGCAAGTGTTAATTTCTTTAGCTCTTCACCGTCAACATTATTCCGTGTGTCCATGGATTACTTTGTTGGAATGAGCAACACCATCTGGTATTGAAAGTATGAATCCAATATTAGCACAACCAAGATGTCTTCTAAGCACAGGGAATTATATTTTACAGCAATGGGTTTCTTTAGGCCTTTGCTCTCACTTTTATTTCAACATATCCATTAATAGACTTATTATGGCTTAAGAATTCCCCAACTCTGATCTATCACTTGTTAAAGTATATAAATAATTCCAGTAAGCCAAGTAGAAAGGAAATAAACTCAACAACTGGTTTTAAGATATTTTGACTGCTTTTGATCCTTGAGATTAATATATTTATTTGTTTTTTATTTATTTACTTTTAAACACAATGTCAGCACACCTCAAACGATGATTCATAACCTCTGTGAGATCCCAGTGGCAACACTGGGAATCAGTTACTGAGGATTCAAGGGTTTTTATGATTGTAATTTTAGGGCAAAACCTCTATAATATATATCTACTTACAGTGGGAGAGTAATAATACATTTAGCCCATGAGAAAAGGAGAGCCATAAAATGTTTGAGACAAAACAGGAAGAGAGAGTTAAACTAAGAAATCTTTTTTGGTTTGTTTGTTTTTATGATTAGAACAAAGGATGGAAGGGCAACAAACTAAACTGTGAAAAAATCTGTAACCTGTGAAGGATAATTCAGTCCAACTTGGATTCGTCAATATTAATTTTTTATGCTTTTCTAATTCTGAGGTCTTTTCAAAACAAAAAAGAAAAAAGGATTTTAATAAAATCTCAAAAGCAAAAGTGGCTGTTTTATAATCTTACTAACTTGCAGTAGTAATATCAGTTTGTTGCCCACAGTAGGCCTAGTGCAGTTCCTATACCATCGAATGATTAATTGTAAATATTAATATTGACTTAGAAATCTATAGCCTTCATAGAAAGTAAATTAAAATCTGCCTGTTAGAGAAATTTGACAGAAAAAAGTCAAATTAAGTTAATATTGATATTAGCCTGATTGTTGGTAACCCAGTAAGTCATAGTCTTTGTAATTGTTTAGGTTGGACAGGTAATAAAAAAATTGGCATTTTGATCAGTGTCAGGAAAGCACTTAGATTAAATTGATAAAATCAAATTATTGGACAAAACAAAGGTTAGATGTGTAGTTTAATGGGACCAACAGGTTTTAAAATCTCTATTAGAATAGATAATTAGTGTAAACGGTGTGTTGGAGCAGCCCATTTGAGAACTGTTTGGGTTTCAGAGAAATGTTTGTCTTTTGAGGCACTGACCTTTATGTTGCTATAAATTTGAAGCTTAATAGTTCATGTTGACTTTTAGTAAAGGCAGTTTTTGTCCCCTTTATCATAATCTCAATTAAACAACAATCCAAAAGTTTGATGAAATCTTTTGTCTGTCTTCCATCTCTGCTAGTGAGACAACGAAGAGTTACTGTTACGAAAGTGAACTTTCTCCAAAGGCTACATTTGCTTCCTTCCATTGTGTTAATGCTGTTGGAGCTGTGCAGCTGTTCACCCCAGAAATAACAGGTCAGGCCAAAATTTATGAAGTGGAAAGCTGTTGTACCAATAAACCACTTCTCAGACATTCCCTGCAGCTTGTGAATCACTGAATTAGAACCTAAGTATGTTTTTCCATATCTTCTTAAAGCCGCCTGTTTTTCAAAATGTTGTTTAAAACCAGTTGCTTTCGCTGCAGGCCAGAGACACAAAAGGACACACCTCACAGACTCAATATCATCGGTTCACAAGATTACAGACTGTCTGCAAGACGTAACCTTCCATCTTTCTTTCTGTTTAGTTTAATGAAAGGCCCAATAGCCTGAAGTTTTAACCCAAACCTATTTTTAAATTGATCAATAAAACAGTTTTAAAATCTGACATATTTCGTTACTTACCCAAAATGCAACTCCTCTAGATATTCATATTGTTTTTTTTATTTATTTTGCCCTGTTTTGTTCATCAAAAATGTATTAACCTAAATACATCCTTAATTTGAGATTAATTTACACATTTAAACAAAAAACACTATAGCTATGAAATGTAAAGGTTGTGTTAAAGGTTATAAAAAATAAGTGTATTTTTTTAGCCCCTTTACTTACTGTTAGTTTCTTACTCTTTAAAGAAGCTCCTGTCTAATGATCCATTTCTCCAGAGTGGAAAGGATAACCTCCTGCTGTGACAGAAAGTTCTAGCAGTTAGAAATTTAATACAGCCCTTTCTTTTTTCTTTTTTGGCACTGTGCCGTGTGGAGCCTGAGTTTCTGTGTTTATGTGTGAGAGACCGGATTTTTCCTGGTGCATCCTGGTTCCTGTTAGTTTCCCCTTTGCTTCCAGTAATGCAAATTCAAACTTTGACAGTTTCTCCTCTTGTTCACCCTCCCCCTTCCTCTTCCCTCTCCTCCTGTGTTTTTTTTCTTTTCTTTCCAGAGCGGTGTGACAAATCATGGCTGAGAAATGCAAGAATAGCCGAAACAAGGGGTGCAGTGAAGCAATGAAGAAACAAAAATCATATCAAATCCGTCCATTATTTTTTCCTTCTTCTAAATCAACTTTACTTATCTGTCCACACATCTGTTTAGCCACCAATATGTATTAACCACCATTTCTCACATGCCCTTTTTTGTTTTTTTTCTTTGTTTGTTTTCTTTCTCTGAATCTAATACGTGTTGATTTAATGCCAAGTTGTGCCAGAGCTCGTTCCAAAATAAATTCTCATAATCCGGTGGTGATGAGTCGTGTTTCTTTGTGTCTGCTGTTTGTGTGTGCCCGTGAGCGAGACGTGAGGTGGCGGATGACGGTTTCCTGCCACAGCAAACTAATAATTCTTCCACAAGTGAAAATGGGGTCATGCGTACCCCACTGACAGCTGTGGGGGCCTGGAGGCCTGATTTTGTGCCGTACTTGTGGTTTCATTAAGTGAGAAGAACGGAGAGAAGAGTGAAGGAAATGAGGGATTAATGAAGTGGGGGACAGGTGAAGAGTGAATTAATGTGTTTGTGTGCCAGTGTGAGTCTTCACCTCTCTCTAAGTGCAATACATTCTCTGCTGCTGTTTCATACGAATGGAAAATGCATGAAAAACAGCTGCCACGCCCGGACACATCCGTCGGACCACCGGACCGAGAGAACATGTCGACACTGCTCCAGAGGTCCAGTTGTGGGATGCTTTATATCACTCCAACACTTTGTAATACACTTGGTGATTTACTTGGTGCAGCTGAGCTACATGCACTTTGAATGAACTGTTCTTGTACTAATCTGAAGAAAAAAATGTTTTCATCTAATTTCTATTCTTATACACTGATAGGACATTAGCATCAGATATCGGAAACAACCCAAGACTCTTCGCATGGGATTGGGACCAATTCTTCCCCCAAACACGGCATGTTGGTGTTTAAGTACACAGAGCTACAGTTTGTTAGCCAAGTTTCAAATGTAACACCAAAACAAAACCACGTGGACTCTCAGCTATCTTTAAAGTCTGCTATTTAAGGAAAGCCAAGGCTTCTTATTTAAAAATCTACAGTGACGAGTTGGAGGAAGAAAGAAGAATCAGACTAAAAATTAGTCAGCAATTACAACACGTAGGTTAATTGCTAACAAGAAACCAGTTCACTGGTACCAGTTCGCTGGTACCTTAGCCTGTAGTGTCATCCAGTCAGTCCTAGATACTGCGCAGTAGCAGACATGCTGGCAGGATTCCTGCTGAGGAGAGGGATTTCCCAACAGCTGGATGTTTAGTGTCCATTCATGGACAAGTTCTTCTACACTGGATTGCCTGTGAGTCAAAACAACTCAAATTAGATGTGAATATAATTTATTCTCACATCAGTGTAGTCCTTTTCAAACACTTCTACATGTCAACTTTGACTATTTCAGGGTGGCTTTGTTGAATAGACTATGAAGACATTGGCTATACCTGTTAATCTTTAATTAATTGAAAATACTCAAGTATTTCTGCAGAATCGATTATACTGGAGTACAATCTCCAGTCAGACCTTCATTAGTCACTCTTTAAAATCCTGAAACTTAATAAAATGTACCAATTTCTCCTCAAATTTGGGGAAAAAAATAATCTGTTTACTTGTGCATTAAACAAAAATGATAATTTTTCTCTGAGAGATGCCAAACTGATTTTATCAACAATGTAGAAAATACATGAGCATGAATATCTGTAGATGGGCAATGCACTGGACGCAGCGCATATTGTCCCTGCTAGCTGTGTTTCCATGGTGACAGCAGGGGTTGTGCCAGCAGTGAGGTGCGGAGGAATCTTCCCGATAACCCTAAAGGTCAGCAAATGGAGCTACAACCTGCAGCAGCGCTGTGTGCTTACACACTTAACTCCTCCCTACTGTGGAGTGTGTGTGGGTGTGTGTGTGTGTGTGCGTGCGTGCGTGTGCGTGTGTGTGAGTGTGAGGAACATCACAACTCAAGTCGAGATGCATTTCCACTTCTATATGGACATGGTTGGGCACCCTTGGAATGATGGAGGCTTGTTATCATCCACTTACACACAGAATATCGACGGGCTTGAAACACACCAACATGCTTGTTCCGTGATATGAACGCGCGTTCACACAAGTGCCTGTCGATGACAATTTACTGAGGTGTGTTTGTTAATGATAGCTGTGACGAGTGCTCTATTGATTGCAGTTTGACTCCCACTTGCCACCGCTGCATCGATCATGACATCCACATTGCCTTGGCGTGATCCATAAATGCTCGATTATAGCAATGGAGTAAAATGAAAGATCTGACAGATAATTCTTACTGGGATTCCTTCCCTCTGAATCTGGAGCGGTGCGAAAGCGTCACGGTCAGATAACAGTAATAGTCGTGGTCTCGTTGTGTTTTGCATAACAGTTCAAAACAAAAATGTATGACATGTCATCTCAATGTGAAAGACTGAAGGGAGAATTCTTCCTAAACCTGCGGAAATATTCTAACAAATTACTACATTTATGTCGAATTTGAAATTATACCGGTTCCTCATTTCTTTTGATATTTTGACTTGCTATGGAAACAAAATGAGATTGAATTCACACCTGTAAATGCCGTACAAATGAATAGAGAGATATCAAGAAATATTATCAAACCTCACCATAGAGAGATCAACTTTCAATGTGTAAACAAATGTCAACCTAAACAAATCTCTTTTTTTAGTACTCTACAGAATTTTCCTGGTATATGAAAATATTCCCATAAATTATTTAATTAAATATGAATTTAAAATGGCAGGTTTTAAATTCATATCTCTATAGACCTATGGTAATTGGGGTTAATATTTTAGATTTTCTAAGTAATTTAAACACTTTAAAGATATGCTTCAAAATAAATCTCTCAGTATTTGTTGAGAGGTTAAATATTGAGAGAGGTGACACTATTTCTTAGTGTCAGTTCATTGTATATGGCTTCTCAAAGAACTTTACAAGACACCCAGGCCCAGTTGATATCCAGAAAAATAGGATCAAATTGATTTAAACTGAGTTAAATAAATTTCACGTTGTTCATAATGATAAAATTACGTTTTTAATGCTAACTAGATAACATTTCCTATCTAATCAAGCTAGCTAACTGCACCAGCTCATAGGTTTTGCATAAATACCTTCTGAACAATATAATGTGGTGATATTGCACTTTGCATCGGGCCGTTAAGGTTCTGCCAGAGAGTAAATATATGAACATCGACTGCTAGCTGGGAATTATGGGAATGTTTTTCTCTGTCTTCTTTTGTAAGGGAGGAGAAAGTGTAGTGTGGCTCCTACCCACACTACACTGCCAGAAAAAGAAAAAAAAGGGCAACTTTTCAAAATTTCGGTGTACTTTGATGCCCATGCCGACATCCAAATGTAGTCTTCCTTCCCAGGCTGCTCGAACTCTTCTAACGCACACGCACACACATTTTACGTATATTAAAGCGAGCGTCATATTAAAGGTTTCAGCCACTGACTCTGATAGCCTTCCTCTCTCCCTGACATTTCTTTACAAATACCAGCTTCTATTCATTCTGTTATTGCCTTTTCTCCCATTCAGCAATTCTCTGATTAAACAAGCCCCTGAAAAGCTCAAGCACTGCTATCTGCCATTTGGCTTTTATTAGAAACCCATCCCCTTTAATTAAATATCTTGAATTAAAGAAGTATCAGGGATATTTTGCAAATATATTAAATAAGAGAGCACAATAGATGAAAAAAAGTGGAAGAATAGGCTTTATGAGGTGCTATGAATGGGGTTTGTCGCTGAAATGAAATAAACGCTATCTCAATGGCGGCATTGGGGAGGGGTTGTTTTTTTTTTATATATATATAAGAAAGCTGAGTTTGTTAAATCTGATTGAGCCTCATCGCTGAACACAAGGCGCAGCTGAAGCTCACTGCCCCCCTCCTTCCATTTCAGCCCCACACTTCCAAGTGCCATGGCTTTTCTTTTTCCCTTTTTATTAATGTGGGAGATGTGGGATTGAGGTTGCTGTGGAAACCGGGCCGGCTTTGATTGGGGGAGACAGCTGCATGGTGCAAGGTTAGACGATGGCCGCTCACGACTCACAATGCGCCACTATTGATTTCCAGACAATTACTGGGTCCAGTTCAGCACGACAAGATGCTACACTGAGGGTTTTGTGTTGCTTGTTGTTTCGGCAAACATGCAGGCTTTTTCTTCTCTCTCTTTTTTTTTTTTTTGAAGAACGTTTATTTGAACCTATAACTTAAGCTGCAGACAAGTTTAACAGTCAGCTACAAAGTCTGCTTGCTGTTTTGGCTGCTCTTCACCGTCTCCCTTCAGTCATTCTGGACGTGTTGTTTGTCATCCATCCGAGGTAGTATCACATTCTGACAAACTATTGCCATAATGGTGGTGCATTTAAGTTAAGCTGCACACTTTGAATCTACAAGCAAGACAGTCACATATACTTACTGTAGTCATTATTTGCCCCAGACTGTTGTCATCCCTTCATTGCTTCCCTCTCTTTTCCCTCAGCCAACTTGGCATTGTTTATGTGAGAAGTTGACAGTGAGCCTAATTGGAGTTTGTGGCTCCATCGAAGACAATCGTCACTCTTTTCTTTTTTTTTTCTGCACAGCACATAGAGCTCTTTAGCTAATTGAATAGTCTTTTATTAAGCTGCATTAATGTGAGCCTGAACTGGTTGCTGGAGAATTAAATTAGACCCCCCACCCCATCACCATCACTACCAATGCTAATAACTACAATACGTACAAACACGTTCGGCTCAGTGAGGTGGCGTAATGAAAGGAACATGCAAAAGGAAGGAAGACAAGAAAGGAAAGCACTAATAAAGAGGCTGAGAGGTATGCTTGTACGGTGGTGTTTATTTCATTTGCAGTGCTACTCTGAAGCTTTCACGCAGTGCAACATAGAATAAAACAAATTTAGATTTGAAATTGCTTTCGTTCACTAAAGAAGATATTGAACGGTAATGGAGAAGCCATCTTTTAAGACATTATAAATCAATGCAAAAAGAAAACAGAGAGTTTATTGGAAAAACAAAATATAGCAAATTATTTATACCAACCCCAACAGGAAATGGAAATATTTTATTGGCATTACAGCAGTTTAACAGTTCTTATGACTGATCAACTTTTTGTCTGTACAATAAGCATAAACATTTTTGAATACAGGTCAGAAAAAAAACAAGGTATCATAGTTTATGTGTCAAATATGGCCTGAACGTTGTTGATGTTTTGTTTTTTGTTTTGCCGTA